TGCGCCATCATAAAATTTCCCATTCCTAATGTAGGAGATAACTATCTCCAGGATAAACTATAATGTTAGAAAATCTCATACAACTTAATAAAAGAAAACACCAAACAATAATGGACTAAGAGGCACATATGATGAGCTTTACTTTCAGGTTATTTCTGTGTTTGTGTGCTGAGACAGCTTAACCTGAGCTGCAGCTCACTCTGCTCTATAGAATACTAAGGCTTGACTCGAGCCTCATGAAGTTAAAATGGGTGTTTTTACAAATTCTAATTATCTTTCAAGTTGCAGTCATCATCAGAAGACCTACTTAGGCCATTTTTGCTGTGAATTCCTGTGCTTCTGAGCCATAGATCTCATGGATTATGTAACGTAGTAGTCCAAATGAAAGTGGGTTTTAAAAAGGGTCTCACACATAAAGTCTCCTTGGCAAGCATTGATTAAAACTTTCCTGAAAGTGATCAAAAAAATCTTTGGTACTAAATCTGCATCAATACTGCTGTTTGTGTAAGTTTAAAAATAAAAATAAAATAAATTTAAAAAAAAAAAAAAACAAAACAGAAAGCAAGGGAGGAAAAGTTCACTGTAAAGAGGGATGAATCCCTTTGCATACTTCCCAGGCACTGGTCCTACTGTTTACCCCAAGTTTCAGGTGAATCTTAATCTTGAGAGCCCATTTCATTGCCAAAAAGTGTTTGTAGGTAATATGTGATCCAATCACCGCAAGGCCAGCTTTGTAGCCTAATATCACGAGATCCTGGCAGTGATACACAGTGAGGTGATAGCAGTGTTTGGAAAATGTACTAGCATTTTCCTACACTGCCATGACTCTTGCAGCATTTGCTTTACTCTGAGCCAGGTACATAGAATTCCTGTGCTGTGTCTCCAACAGAACCCTGCTGCTGCCAGGGCTGCTGTAACTGAAAGAAGTATTTTCCTACCAAAATAAAAAAAATTCTTCTCTACTGCTGTTTGTGCTTCGTATTAGACTGTTAAGGCTAGATTTGCTCTAGAGGAACTTTTGCACTGATGATCTACTCAGTCTACTGTCCTTAGAAGGGATGTAAATAGGACAACTTATAAATCTTGACAACTATGAACTTTGCACAGATTTGAAAATGAGAATTTAGGCTATAAATTCAATGGGGTAAGGAAGGTATAGTCATCTTTTTGTTCTACATGAAACATACAGTGTATGGGATTGTGGCTCATGTCTAGGGTTGCTAGGAATGACAGTACTAATTTATTTCTTTGGTTTAAGACTGCTTTTATATAAACCTATTTATAACATGGGACTCCTCACATTCCTGTGACATTAACAACTGCACAAGTGTTTGAACTGAGATACCTGTTGCTCAGCCACTGAAATACCATTGTCGGATACTAACATTGCAGATAAAGGCCCTCTCTCAATAGAGCCCTGTGGAAATAGTGATTTCAGAAGCAGAGACAGACAGATGGCATGTCAGAGTTACTGAGATGATAATATCTTCCACTGAGGGATCAGAGGAGGAGCAGCACTCCTTGGAATGGCTGAAGTAAAAAATGGCACCAGGCACACAGGAATATGGGAACACATGCGACTTACCCATGTTATGCTCTGAAGAGCTGTAGAAACACCCAGGAAAGCGTTGGAGGTGCCTTTGTTGTTTTCTGAATGTCAAGCTTCCTGTTAGTTTTGCATATGACTTCAAGAAAAATACTTTTTCTGCTCTTACTACCTGAGAATGTGTGAAAATTTACTCAATGTCACATGCTATGATGACACTTTTTAGTCTAGTGGTGGATGAAAAACAGTTTCCAAAAGTATGGAAAATGAGGCTGTAACTGCAAAACATAGGTGCGAAGATCCCTGCAGAATGTAAAAATTGGAAAGATTGGCAACTTGTGAGTGCTGCCTTATGCAGTACTCCAATCTTGGCTTGCAACAGCCTTTTATCACACTGGCTCTTGGCACCTTCTTTGCTGGACCACCAATAGTGACCAATTGCTCAGCAGTTTTGCAGAATTGCTTGGGTCATCAGACAAACATTTTCACTTGTGACCCAGGTGCATTTGAGCTCAAGGTGGTGAAGAGCTTGTCTGTTAACTTACAACACTGTGCGCTATTGCCTTTGGCAGCAAGCTGCTCTGTGAACAGCTGCTGTAGTACAAAAGGCCAAAGGGAAGCGCCTCAGTTTTGCCTTAGTCCTTTCACACCTCCAAGTCACTGGAACATACCCAAGTGCATGGTAAACTACAGGCGGTCTCTCCAGTGCAGAACAGGCTGTACAGTTGACTTTAACTGAAACATGAATCATCTCAGTTCTAAATTATTTTAATCTAATCAGTCATCTGTGTTAAAGGGTGTAAAGAGACAGCAAAGCGGAAAGAATGACTGCCAAGTAGAGGGTACATGACACAAATAAAGCTGCTAAAATGAGATGAAATATGAACTAATAATGATTTATTCTGAATGCCACTGGGGTTACAGTGTGAATCACTTGGAGAGATATTCAGGTGAAATTAATTTTGTAGGCTTTCCCCTGAATGATTTTTATAGTCTCAGTAGAGGTGAAAGGAAGGCAAAGATGTTAGTTACACAGGGAGTACGCACAAGAGTTTTGAGGTGCTCCCAAACAAATTCTCCTAATTAATATATGCTTTTCAAGCCTCTTGTAAGTAGAGGAGCACGAACAGCTGTAGTTCTTTTTATAGATAGAAACTAATCTCTAGTACATGTTGGAGTTGAGGGATATAGAGAACAACATGCTGTGGATTTGTAAGGCTTTTCTAGCCATGGAAGCATTCTTTTTATACCCTCTAAAAGTGGAAGGGAATGCAGAAGAGTATAGTCTTCAACAATACTACTCTTGAACAAAATCATGACAAGAGCAAAGGGTCTAGTTCTTAATGACACATACCATGCACTTCTTATTAACACATGAAGCAGCATGTGTGAGTTTTGACCTATTTTCTTGGCAGGTTCAGCCTTTTATATGAAATGGGCTGTACTCACTAGCATTTCTTCCCCGTTTTCACTAGTGTGAATGGCCTTCAATGCAAAGGAGGGGAAGAATTACATACTTTGTGTTTTTAAATACCTTTAAAAGCCCAAGCAACGAGTCATAATAAAATTCCTTAGACTTGATGAGTATCTTTGAACACTTCCTGTTTGAAGATGGTATGTTTTTTCTCTTCTTTCTCCTTATTGCTACCTGAATATATTATCAGTTTAATGTTGTCCTCTGCCTGGAGACAATATCCGGTTGTGGTAGGTGAAGGGAGGAACTGTAATAGCGTCTTTACATCTCTAATGCTGTATGATTTTGTTTACGTAAAAACATCCTGGATTTTGAACAGTTTGTTTCTTTTGGCAGTTTATTACCAGCCTGAATGGCCCACTTTTTTATGATCTATCATGCAGCTGCTGCAGAAGTCATTATCACCTGTTTTTAGTTTTGGTAACCTTCCTTTTAATAAACCTCAGTTTGAAGTAAGTTTCCAAAAGTTTGCTCCAAAACAATGCCCCAGATCTTCTGGAACCCACTGATTACCTTTTTTCCCCTCAGAGAAGTAAGCTGGTTACATTTTATTTTATTTTATGGCTTCTTCTGATGTGACATAAGGAAGAACTAGTTCACTTAGGACAAAATGACTTGCTGGGTTCCCACCATTATTGCAACCAAAGGGAGAACTACCAGAGGGTCCATGGGGAAGAAATGTTTCAATAGCTTTTTGTGCCCTATGCTTTTGGGCTCAGAAGGTATATATATCTGCACTGTGGACTCTCTATACCTCGTAATTCTTGTGATGTAGTCTGCTGTGGATTGCAAATGAATGTTGTCTGTTTATTCTCATGTGCTAGAAGAAGCACCAGGGGAAAAGCTGAAAATCACAATTTCATATAACTCTTTTCCTTTTCTTTTAGGGGAAATAAATTCAATCTCATGGATTTAGTCACTGTGGAAAAAACCCCTCAGCTGTAAGAATGCTGCTGTTTAGAGAAGGGAAAAAATGAAATGCTAAAGTGGGGATGGTGTGTATTCCACACATCTCTAGAACAACTATTTTTTGAGAACTTCTCCTCCCAAGATTTACTTTAGAAAAGCACATCTAAAGGTAAACCACTTCGAAGTATTAGAAGGCAGATGTATTGACTTAGACAAGACATTTCAGTACAAACATTGCTTTGAATTCTGCATTCCTCTCATGAAACCTGCTAAAGGAAGGTTGGAAGGAGTTTCCTGATACTTCCCTATAGCTCTGGGGAGGGAGGTTAGCTAAGAGTGGGTTAAACTGCTCTTTTAAGTGAAAGCTAAGAATAGAAAGGACCATATCCTCTAAAAAGAAGCTAAGTGTGGAAAGGACCATAGCCTCATCCTCACTGTTATTCCTTTCTCTTCCTCCAGAATCTAAGATATTAAAATAAAGAACTGAAACTTCAAATTACTGCTCAAGTGCATTGCCTTTCAATTGGATTGTAGAAGAAAGTGGGGGGAAATGTGTTGTTAATGAGAGAAGGGAATACTGACTATGTGATTAAGTTTTCATTTGGTTGAGGAACTTCACAGTAATGAAGAAACTATCTTCATGAAGTAATAAATGTTTTTCCCCAAATCTCTCAGCTTTACCTCTGTAATAGCTTTGAAGTTAAACTAAACAAAGTGAACAAAGGCCAGTTTTGGATCTCATACTTTGCTTTCCTCTCAAGTTAATCCCAGGAGCCTTGTAGGTACGGCCCATGCAGTGGTGGAATATACCTGAGCAGAGTAAAATCTAGGTGAAAGAAATTGTTTCATAAGCTGCATAAAGAAGAAATAATAAAATTACAGTGTGACTTAGATCAAGAAGTAAACCACTGGAGGGAGTTTTGATGCTGAAAAGCTTACTCCTCTTGCTTTTATTCTTTGCTTGTCTTGTGTGTTTGTAGGAGCATTTCACAACAATGTAGGAAGGTATTCTGGATTCAGCTGGTCCATAGTTGTATTGGCTAAGGTGACATTTTGGCTTGCACCACCCACTCAGCTATTGGACTTCTTGTTCTGCTTGTGGCTGTTGATCTTAGGGCACAGGAAACCAGAGTTGTACCTAGAAGGCAGCTCTACCCCTTGGACATTGCTGTATGTTATTGTAATGCTGGGTATCTGGGCTGCAGATGGTCCATGATGAGACTCTCCTTTTCTTTGTCCAATACCGTTCAGGCTCTCACCTCTCTAAATGATGCAAGGATTTAAAAGAAATGGAAAACAGAAACATCTACAAGGAGATCAGGTTGTATCATCTATGAAAAAGTAGCATGTATTTAGATAAGCACTTTGCCGATGCCCATGACTAGCTCAAAACCAAACTTAAAGGATGGAGGAAAAAGTAGATCTGAACATTTTTTTAGTATTTCATTAATAACTTATAAGAATAAACCTGTTAAGTTAATATAGTAAAGCACAGACTTTACGTTTGCTACTTAGAGCTGGTCTACTTTGATGAAAAACCAGGCTAATGACAGCACATTCAACTATGAACAAAAGTGCTGTGAATATGCTCAGACAGTCAATGAATTCAATCAAGTAAGGAGTCCCACCATACAGAGGGACTGTTTAGGTTCATTGGGGCAAGAGATGATGTAAAAGGTAGTGGTAACAGCATGGATAGTTTGAAGAAGGAAGCAAACTAGAGAATGAAGTGAAAAGAGGAATTGAGGGAAAGATTAATTAGCATTTTTTTACAATAGCAATGTTAGCTGTCACTTGCCCAGGACCAAAAAGCGAGAGTGTTAGGATGAGCGTAGCAATAGCTCATGAGGATCACTGCTAACAATAAAGACATAGTTTAAGATGTTTATATTGCATTTGGGTTGATACTTCAAAGATAAAACTGGCTTGTTTCCATCTGTCAACTCTTTTCTCTCATTTCCTTGTCTATTAAGAATTAAGGCAAGTTGACTCACTTGCGGCAGATGTCAAAAAAATTTTATCAGTATGCTGTATCTTTGTTACGTGGAAGAAGAAACAGACAGTAGCACAACATCTTACTGAATAGGTGATGCGGCATGTTTTGGAAACTTTCCTTGATTTCCTCTAAGTTGCATTTTTTAGATGTTTGCTGCTACCCAAAACAGAGAACATAAATAGTTAACAATGTCACTTTGTACAGCAGTACTTGCCACAAGGCTATGGCTGTCTTAAAGGTACGGCCATCAGAACGGCTGTCTCAGCTTACTATGTATATTATTCACATAAAGATAAACAAAATTAATGCTTCCATGCTCCACTAAGGAAATCACAGACCTCGTCAGGGGACCTACTGAATTCAAGATTCAAGTTCCTTGAAGAAGCTGGACTTAAGGAGAACCTTGTAGTGCATAGTTTCAGCAATGATCTACCCTTGTGGTCATGTTTTCTATATACTGCTGGGAGTATCGTGTGATTTTTACATCTCAAAAGATAATATAATTTGTGCTCAGAGACTGGGATTGTTATTAGTTTTTGTTCCCTCAGTTAGTAAGATGCATGCCAAATATTAAAATAATAATTCTTACAGTAGGCGTAGCAGTGTACTCTATGGCCTTCAGTTCCACCATGGATATGTCATCAGCATCTACAGCTGTCTGAAGAATGAACACAGATAAGAAAGACATAAATGACATATAGATATGTCACAATATTTTATGTATGTGAAATGCAAAGTATTGGAAAAATAAAAAAAAAAAAGGGGACAGCAGAGGACTGATTGTAGTAGTAGTGATATGCTAAAGATAGCCTTGGGTTTTACCTGTCACCGTATGTGTTAGTTTGATAGCAAATGGTGAGACAACAGAAAGATTGACCAAGTAATTTGGACAGTGAAATACAAATATTACTGAACGCACACTTAAAACCAAACACAAGACAATGTACTATTCCCGTGCTAAGTTCAATAAAACAGCACCGTTGCTTGGCAAAAATGCAACAAAGACAGCTGAATAATGAACCAGGGTGGAAATAAAAAGCTGATGACCTTTTACAGCCTCTAAGTCATTACTCATTTTGTTAACTCATAGGTTATTCCCATCTACTTGGCAGGAAGCTTCATGATTAATTATGGTGAAATGTGCAGATTTTTTAACCTACCAGTTGTCAGAGAATTTAGATATTATGCAGTGTATTACCTTCTCACAAATCCCAGAGTCCTGGCTCTTCAATTTAGGTTTGGCTCTTATGTCACTAGTTTGAGTTGTGTCTTTACCCGTTTCATAAGAAATCTGTCTTCTAGCAAGTCTGGAGAACATACTGGGGGTTTCAGTTTCTGTGTCAGTACAGCCCTAAAATTAATACAGCAAAAATATAATCACTCTGGGTTCCTTAGACTTCCATCCAACTTGCCCCATGAGAATCAGTTTTACCTAGACAGAAATTGTAAGAGACAGATGTTATATAAAAGACATTTCACAAAAGTTATGCCGCATATGACTTCATAAAATCTTTGTTTATAAGAGGTACAAACAAAACTATCAAGTCTATTCAGTCTAAAATTCAGCTTTTTTTTTTTTTTTTTTTTTTTTAACCTCCACAGGATGCAGTGCAAAATTTCAAACAAAATAGTGTTTTGTTACTGTCTATTGTTGAAACTTCTCTGATGTACCTCGTAGCTCTGAGGAGACAGTGTTTCCATAGTAGTACCCAATTAGGAAGCACAGGTCTTTGGAGCAATTAGGGCCAAAGTTTCCAAAGTGGCTTGGGTGGAAGCAGAAATAAATACAAGGAAATGTCTGGGGTCTGCAGAATCAGTGATTTAGAAACATTTTGTTTCGTGAAGTAACACTGATTTTATAAACTTTGTTCTGATTAATGGGAAAACGAAAAATTAAAAAAAAACCCAACCCACCAGAGTTTTCTAGAAGTCAAAAATTCTGTTCCTTTTCCTCACTCTGTCAGCCTTTTTGCTACAATGATGAAGAATCACAATGAAACAGCTAATGGGGTTGTGATGAGCAGCTCACAGCAAACCAGCCTATTTTCTGTTTGACAGTGTAACTTGCCTTAAAATAGGGAAACATAACAGTGTGATATAAATTTTTTCCATGCAGCACGGGTTTTTCATAAGCAATGTGTGTGCTTTGGATGTAGCTTCCATCAGATGAGAGTATATAATTGCTTGAAAATACTCAAAGCAATTATTGATACTTTCAATATTTGATACTTTCAAATTATTGGTAGTTTGATAAACTTTCCACAGGAAAGAAAATAAAAATTAGTGTAGAAAAACGTGAACTTTGATGGAACTGGAGAGATTGGCCTGATGAGTCTGTTACTATTAAGAGAGAATCCCAATTGGTGTTGCTATACCAGAATTTTGATGCATAACAAATTGGTTGCTCTAAGGAGGATCAGGATCATTTTTTTTTCTGTGTAACTATGAGGAAGGATAAGGGGAATACAGAAGAAGGGGAATGAAAAAATAATTTATTTTGGAATAGTGACAATAATGATTTTATTATCAAAAGCAGCTTTCTAACTATTGGGGAAGCAATGATGAACTGCATCTACAGGGTGTCGTGTCTCCAGACTGAAATGTCTCCATGGAAGATTTTTTAGAAAAGCTTAACAAAACATCT